GCGTCTAAACAAGGCCCTTAGCAGTCCTTGGCTAAACACCTTCCTGGTGTTTTGGCAGGTGACCCAGCTCTGAAGAAACTAGGCACACCTAGCTAGGCTCGGGTTTGGAAGGAACCTTAGAGATGTATAAGGTGGTGACTGGCTCATTTCTTTCTGGCCTTTGTTCAGACCTTTCTCTCTGCCTGGAATATCCTTGTACTTCTCCCAAGGGTGGATTTCCGTGCATTTGCAGCCAAAAAAAAAGCTCCTCCCAGTACTTACTCTTACAGCCTCTCCAGGGACCCCTCGCTGTCTCCTTCATCACTGCAGAGCAGTGTGGATTGAACTTGGGGTTCTCTTACAGAGAGAAGTCTGAGGCAGAGTCTGCTGGGGTTTTGTCTGAGTCCCCAACATCTAGCACAGCGCCAGAAACAGGGGAGGTGTTCAGAGTATGTGTGGGAAAGAGCTTTCATTTTCCACCTTACCAGGAAAACTTTCATTTTTAGTTAAAAAAATAAATAAAAGTGAGGGAATTTCATTTTTAGATTAAATTTCCTCATCTTTCATTTTTCAGGCAAGGAAATTGAAACTAGCCAGACCGGTTAACCAGATAATTTAAGTGACTTGACTTAAATTGCATAGCTCATGGCCTATTTGTCTCTAAGTAAAGATTAGAAACTTGGCCTCTTAACATCTACTCTACTAATCAGTCTTTTGCATCACCGTCATTATAACTGAGTTTTCTTCTCCCTCTTGAGCAGATTGGCCATAGAATGTATTGCCTAAATTTGGGTGTTTAAGATGGTAAAGGCATAGTGTTAATGAAATACTGAGACAAACCAAGACTGGTCAGAACTTATAGCCTTTTCACCTCTGGACAATCCATCTAAGCATTACTGCCCTCTTCCTTGGCTCTGTTATGTGACACCAAGTCAGAACCAACTCATAGCTAACCTTCCTGTGGGTTTTCAGAGGCAGTGAAATCGCACAGGAGGAGATTGGCTATCTTTCTCCTGAGGAGCAGCTGATGGATTCACACCGTCCACGTTTGGGTTGGCGGCGCCACTTCTTATCCACTAGGCCACACCAGAGCTCCCTTTCCTCTGCTGTAGTCTGTTTATTTTTGCTATAGAGAATGGTTGCCCAGATATCTTACAGGTGAGAACAAAGGTCCCTCTAGTTTAGTCCTCGTAACTGAGGTTGACTCTCCACCCTTGCTTGGGAAGAAAGGGAGGATGGGACATTTTTATCTGGCACTGTCCCATCAGTCAGGGATCAGCCCAGTGATTTAGCCAGTAAATATTTATTTATGACTTATGTTCACTAGCAAACAATTGGTGAATGCTTTCTGTGTCCTGAGCTCTGTGCTGCGCTGGTGCAGGCCTGAGCTGGTGCCGGCCTGAGCTGGTGCCCAGTTTTGTAAGCTGGCTGAATAGCCTGTGGGCTGGGCAGAGCTGGAGAGCAGTGGCCCAGCCCCACCAGGGGAGGGGCATGACATTCTTGTCTGTCTGGGGAGGGACACAGCACTTTTGTCTGTCACTTGCTTTAGATCTGGGGGAGAACTAATGAAATGGTATGATTCTACATCCTAGGGAATATTATTAGCCAAGCTGTGGCAACCTAGCACCTAAAGTGGATAACTGAGAGTGGGCCTTGAGTTGGCCCCATGAGGTCAAAGCAAGAATTTCTGAGGAGAATAATTCTGATTTGGAATTCTAGAGTTAGAAAGTGCTCCTTGGAAGCAAAATGTTGAAGCTTCATCTCACATACTTCAGACATGTTGCTAGGAGACTCTATTCCTTGGAGAGGGACATCATGCTTATAAAGATGGAAGCTTGATGAAAGAGAAGAAGACCCTCAACCAAATGGATTGGCACAGTGACTGCAGCAGTGGGCTCAAGTATGTCAGAGATTGAGACTGGCACAGGATAGAACAGGGTTCAGATCTGTTTGTTCAGAGTCTCTAATGTGCCATACTCATTGAAATAAATGGACCTCAGAGTTTGACGTATACACGCAGAAACTCCTAGTCATCCCTTAACTCCAAACCCCAAAACCATTGCTGTTTAGTTGATCAAGAACCCTCCATCTAGTCTCCAAAGTTTTATGGAAGGAGATTCTCTGTCTGTCTTCCTAGAACAGCTGGTGGTTTAGATACAATACACTGGCCTTTCACTCAGCAGCCGGACACAGAACACCGTCCACCACCAGCGTGCCTTGGTCACTCCTAAAGACCCCATTTATTTCCCAATAATCTCATTTCTGTTAGGCCTTGTCTTCTTTAGACCTTGGCTCTTAGATACACGTTGGTGTGTCCCCTAGGGTTTGCCGATGAGTACGTCTTAAGCTTTCCATGTTTTATAATTTGTTTTCATTGTCTGGATGTGCGATTTTTGCCTATCTATAATTTTACTCTTTTAATACAATTTTATGACCCTTCGTCTCTGAAACACTTATGGCACTTCCTCCTCCACTGCCGTCGGATTTTAAGAACCGAACATTTCCAGAGCAAAAGAGCTGGTCACTTTTAAAATCGCCCTTCTTAAGTGGTACTTTTTTGCCTATGTATGATTGTCCAAAACAAAAATGAGATTTGTAAACCCTGACTCGAATAAAATATTTTTCAAAAATAAAATATCTCAAAAAAAAAATCTCTTCTGTTGATTAAGCATTGTATGTAATTCATTAATTGCATCATTTAACTGTAATGTTATAAAGCAAAATGTGTATGAATGACTGAATGAAACCTCAATATGATTTGTAAATTTTCATTCCCATCACAATAAAAGAGAGAGAATAAGTACTAGAATCTCCCTCCTGGAAGGGGGTGTGTGTAAGCTGGTGGGAGGGGCTGTGGAGGGAGAGTTGTGAAGGCTTAATACTCCAGTGTGAATTTATAAGTGATGTGTCTCATGTTGGACAAGGTCTCAAGTCCCCTACCCCCTACCGAATCCCAAGCCTCGGGATTTTCTGCTTGGGGAGAGACGATGGTCTGAGCAGAAGGGGGAGGGGAGGTGCGGCCTCATCCCCTGCAGCTGCAGCCTGGGCCTCCCCAGCATCCTGGGGAGGAGGCACCATGGTGACCGGCCCTCCCGCCTGCCATTGTCCTCCCTGCCCTGCTCTGGGAGGGCCCTTGAGCTGGGCCTCCCCTCTTTCACTGATGCAGCTCCAGGGGAGGGGCGGGGTGCAGGGCACGCCATCCCTGGCCCGTTGCCGGGGTGACCAGGCCCCGGGCATTGTGAGCAGCTCCTCTTACGGGATTACAGCCGCTGGGCTGTTCCGCATTCTTGTCTGATGGGCGAACACTGGCCTCCCGAGTCCACTGTCCTCTTGAGCCGGAAGCCATTGTCTGCCTCCAGAGCCCTGTGAAAGGGTGGATTAGAAGCCCCTCCCCTCCGGCAGAAGTTTCCTTTTTTCCCTGTCTCTCTTTGAATCTTGAGGGGAGGCAAACGCTCCTGGGAAATAGAATAAAAGGAGCTGTTTATTTCGGTCTCTGCTTTCTGATTTCCCATAACTTGCCACCTCTCCTGATGAGGAAGGTTTATGGCGCCTGTCCTTGATTATATCTTTCCAGGAACTGTGACAGTCCTCCCAGTTCCCCATCCAGCACCTGATGCCAACGGAGCAGGCTCTGAGGCATCAGAATGGCTCATAGGAAAGCACCTCAGACATCACGGTCCAAACTCTTCTATTTCACAGAAAAGAAAACTGAGTTTCTGAGAGGGTGGTGGGGCCTGCCATAGCCCAGGTCTCTTGACAACCCATTCGGGCAACTGGCCCCGCTTCCGTGCTTCCCCTCACCCTCTGAGCTCCCACATTACTCTTGAGATGAAGCAGAAGAAAAGACTGGACTCCCCCCAGCTCCACAGGGTGGCTTGAGATGCACTTTGGGAGTTCCTCCCCCCACATCCTCTTGCCTCACCCCATCCTTCCTGAGCCTGTAACATGTACCAGCTAGAAAGAAGGTTTAATCCTTATATGGTACTTGCCACCTTTTCAATCTAAGATTAAAGAGTGAGCCCATAGTATTCTGTTTAGCTGTGTGTTTTGGTTTGTTATTGGGGAAATGATAGCTTCTTATCCAGACTGGAGAAGGTTACTCATAGCAAGTTAAGATGTTTGGTGGGTCCCAGAGAAACACGGTTTGAATCCACCAGATGCTCTGCCGGAGAAGGAGGCGCAATATCCTCCTGTACCAGTCAGATCTGATTTGACGGTACACGCACACAAAATAATAAAAAAAAAAAAAAAAGATGTTTGGTGGGGAAGAGTTCTATCTTGGAATCAAATGACGAATAGTTTAACTCCCCGTTCTGCCTCTTAGTAGCAATGTGATCTTTAGCAGATTATTTAACCTCTCTCTGGACTCCCAGTTGGTGACACAGTGGTGATGTGTTCTGTTCCTGGACAAAAACGTCAGCGGTTCAAATCTACCAGCTGCTTCTTGGTAGCCGGCTGCGTCTGTCAAGGCTTATGCACCGTGGGTCAGCTCTTCTCTGTTCTTTAGAATCACTTCGAGGACCTGTGAGTTGGAATTGACTTGAGGGCAATGGATTGGGCCCCAGCTTCCTCACTTGTAAATGATGATGTTGATACTTTTGTGCCCACCAAGGTTACTGTAAGGGACATTTGTTTAATAATTCACCCGATGACTATGCCGGTTGGTGGGCACCAGGCACTATGCTCCAGTGACAGGCAGAAGAGACCCAATCCTCATTCTCGTGGTGCAGTAGAAAGAAAACCCGTGGTACTAACTCTGTCAATCAGCACTCTTACCACTCATTCATCTGTGGCCTTTACGCAAGGAGGTCATTGGTCCATCTACCTCCTGTTGCATGGACTGCACAAGACTCAGGTGAGAAGCTTCTTTAGAGAAGGTGTCTCCAGTGTCTCTGCCCCCACAGAGGCTGAATAGGCCCTGTGGCCTTTGTAGCAGGTGCAGACAGACCACCAGAGTCCTCAGCGTGTTCTCAGGGATGCTTTGGCCTCTCTCCTCACTGTCTTGGCTCCTCTGTTCACAGGTGGCCATCAAATCAATTCGGAAGGACAGAATCAAAGATGAGCAAGACCTGATGCACATACGGCGGGAGATTGAGATCATGTCGTGCCTCAACCACCCCCACATCATCGCCATCCACGAAGGTACAGGGGCCAGCATTTGGAGAGTGGGCAGCGGAGGCGGGGGGGACTTTTGTGTCTCAGGCAGGTAGGAGGCCAGTCAGAACCCATAAT